AGAGAATATATATATATATATATATATATATATAAATCATAGGAACTATTTCTAGAACCTTTAAACTGGCATAAACGCCAAAAATATTAGTAAATGTACAATATTGGTGACTGTACTAATTCTAACTAATACACTATAAGGAAAAAGTCTCATTATTAGTGTTTTTTCTTTAAGAATATATATATGGCTTATATATTAATTTGTAATATAGATATACAAGGAGGTTAGTAAGAGTGGTGAGGTTTGATAATGTACTTTCAGACACATATTTTAATGCATTAATTTTGGATGATTTATCATTTAATATTGTGAATAATTGATATGTTAGATGTGATTTGTATTAGTGGGTTTAGTTAATGATGATTGTAAATTTTTATTAATTTTTGTAATTTGATCTTCTTTTACACCATATTCTTGTGTAGGCCATATATGAAGTTACAGACATTGGATTTAAATGTTCCTGGTGTCCTTGAAAAGATAAGAGAGAGTTCTACAATTTCTCTATCGAGAGCAAAGCTTAGTTCAAACGTTAAGTGACCCAAAAATACATTGCAATATTGTGGCTCTATATAGTATTTTCTTTTTATTTTTTAAATGTAATATAGGATTTGTTTAGTGATGTAATTAATTGATTTAGTGGGTCGAATCTTGTATATATTCTGATTAGACCCACTATATTTATGTATTAACAGGTGTTGTGAGGCTTGTTATGTACACTTTACACTCATTTTTTCAGATTTTAGAGTTATTTCCTCTACAAGTTTCTTTAAATTCTCTTTCTCTTTCTTTTTCTTTCTCCCTCTCTCCCTCTCTCAATTTTTTCATTACATTTTTCTACACAAAGAAACTACAATGTCTTGATAAAGATGTGTAACTAACTCATTCATTTGATTCGAGTTTTCGATCAATTTTTTCCGTACGAATTCTCTTGGTCTTCTTCTCTGTCTTAAATCTATTTTTCATTCTTCATGATTATAAATTTTGTTTTAATAGATTTGGATCAGATTTGAAGATTAATTTTGGATATAGATATCTAAATCTAAAATAACTCAAATTCCCTAAATTAATTGTTCATCATTCTTGAATTTCACAAAAAGTTTTATGAAATTCAATAGATCTACATTTAGATTATGTTCATGCTAATTTAGGTAGATTGAATTTGGATTATAATTTAAATCATGAAAATTTTACTATAATGATTAAAATTTTGAATCGATGTAATTTCTTAATGAATTTTATGTTTGTATTTATAGTATTCTAATTTCTCTTTTATGTTCATAAAAAATCTCCTCCCTAATTGTGTGATAATTTTTTATCCTATTAGTTTGTGTCTTCGAAAAGAATGACCTAGGTTTTCCCTATATTACAAATCTTTGGAAAAGATTTATTAGTTTTTTTTATAGTGATTCGACAACACTATCAAGACTCGTGTGCATGTACATGGCTCAAGGGGGCCAGTTGTCTTGAAAATCAACCGATTTGTCCCCTTTATGTGCAAGATACACAAGTTTCTTACAAATTTTTATGTCATTTTTAATAATATTTTAAATAATTTCAAAATTAAGGAAAAATTTATTTGTCAACTATTTTTACTACACTTATCACTTCCACCCAAATTTTCATGAAAATATTATGTGTGACTCACTTTTTTTTTCCTTGTTAATTTCATTCAATCAAATAATTACAAATTTTTAATATCTATTTTTGCTTCTTCTTTCCCAATTCTCTACCATTTCTTATACCAAATGAAACCTAAGATTTTGGATCAACTAAATGATAAATTAGTTTGTTGAGATGTCAAAATAGAAATTAACTCTAATGTATTGTTAATATTTTTAAAAAATAAGTATTGTTTACATGACATAATTTTACCAATGTAAAGTTGATTTTTTCATAAATATAGTACTTAGTATGAGACCTATATTTGTAGTTCTTTATCATGTCTCTTCTAGAGTTAACAAAGCTTAAAAAAAGTTAAATAATTAGTTTTGAGACCTAGTTTGTCATCTAGGAGAGCAATGATTTTGCTAGTTATGAAGAAAGATGTAAGTATGGAGTTGTGTATAAATTGCCTTCGATTGAACTACTACTATTACTCACAATCATACATTTACAATTACCTAAATATATATTATATAACATGCATAAGTGTATGTAATACAACTGTAAAAATATAAACAAAATGTATATACAGCAATCTAGTAATGTCGAATGTACAACCTAGATACCAGTCAAGCACAACTATACAAAATTACTCAAAAGTAACCACAAAATAAAACAAAAGCCACCATCCTCTTGGTGCTCTCCACTTGTACGTGTCAACAAAATCTATCCCTACATGCATAAGTGTGCATTATGTGTTAAACCTTTTTGGAAGATCTAAATACATTTGGTGATATTGATTGTAACCCTAGGTTGTTGATTTGGTTACCAGTATATATGTTGTTAACTATTTATTTGGTTCTTATAATAGAGGAAGGTGAAATGGAGGCCATGCATAAAAGTAATATAAAAAAGAATTTTAACACAAAAGCTTCTCATAGACTTTTTGAGATGTTTATGAAGCTCGAAGGAACAATAGGAAACCAAACTAGATTGGAGATCATATGTGGAAAACTATATTAGAACATTGGAGCGCACATATGTACCACTCTAAGTGTATACAAGCCCAAAAAAATCGAGCATCTGAAAAGGGTGGGTGCATGCACACATATGTCTCCATCAGCATGCATGAACATGCCTTTTGCATGGTATATTTATATTTAAGTGGTCTTTTGTTAGCACTTAATTTTTATATGAAATTTATTTATTTATATAATGTTTTTATTTGCAGGTATAAGAGCTTGGTCATCTTGTGCATATTGCTGAAGTTTTTCAACAAATGCATATATGGAAAGATATTGGTGAGTTTGTCGATGATAGGTTTAGGCAGACACATGTGAGTCCCTTACATTGCTTGTTCTATTTATTATCAATTTTATTAATATTTACTTGATTTTTACACAATGTTTAAAATGATAATATGAAGATTTTGAAAATACTTTCTCAAGCCAGGTCTAAAGTTATTGGATCCATTATTGGTACCTTAGAATGCACCCCTCTAGACCCTATTGAAGAGGAGAGACTTATGGGTCAATGTTAGGATGCATCTATTGGTGGAAAATATAAGGGACATCATTATGGTACAGGAGATCTTGCTCAAAGTCATGACATTGGAGATGATAGCTTTATGCATTAGTGAGGGGAATCTTCTATTCAGTCTCAAAATTCAAAAAATATTACTTAGTTGAAACAAAGAGTATTAGCTAATGAGGAGCATATGCATCATATGCACTCTTAGTATCAAACTCAATTTCAAACATTGCATTCTCAGTATTAGACTCAATTTCAGACCTTTGTCAATGATGTAATTTCTTTCTTACCACCTACCATGCAAAATGTTTTTCAACAACAACAATTGAACACTCAGCAACAACAACTAAACAAATACCCACAAGAGTAACAATAGGATGATGGAAAACCAACAACCAAAAAATGATGAACAAAATGACCAACATCAACATTCTCTAGGATATTTTGATTATTAGATTTTTAGACAACTTATGTCATAATATATTTATTGCTTAATTTTAAAAATTGTAATGTTACAATTTATTGTGTTATTTAAAAACTAAACCTTACTTTGTTATGTTTTGATTTATTAAAATCAAAATATTCAAATGAAATGTTATGAGTGGTTGAACTTGTCTCACTAAATAAGTCTCCTTGAGCCATAGTTATCCTAGCTTGCACCACAAGCCATCTTCTCACTAAATAAGTCTTTTCCTTCATTTTTTAAACACTTTTGATGCATTATATGAGAGAATTCCGAAATTTCCTCTAAATTTTCTCTCTTTCAAAAGTCTCAAACCTCTTTAATTTCAATCCAATTCTCTTATCCTCTTCATACAAGAATCTGGTGAGTTTTGAAGTGACTAATCTTCCTCCAAGGAGTGGTGCCACTTGAGAATGTTCTTCACTTTCTAAGGTGAACCTTTAAGTTTCTACCTCCATTGGAAGTTTTAACAAAGCTTAAGGAGAATCAAGGAGCTAGAGATCTAAGGTGGAACTTGAAGAGAAGCAAACAACAATTCGATTTCGTCTTAAGTTTTCCATCACTGTCTCTCTCTCTCTCACACACACACACATATATATTTAAACAACCGGTTATTTCATTATGTTTTAAAATTTTTGGAACCGCTACATTTACTTTTTATGGATTTACCAGGAGTAGAGTAGTTTCATCTTTTGGAAACATTAATAATGCTCAAGGGGTAATAAATTGACAATTGAAATATGAATGAATAGAAAATTAATCTTATTGATTGAGGAACCAGCCAAGGGTTACATATATACTTGAAACTTAAAAACGAAAAAAAAAAAAAAAAAAAAAAAAGCAACAGAGTTGGAAATAAGGAAGTAGAATAAACAGCAGCTACAGATAAGTAAGTAGTTGGCACCGTAACAAATGCTAATTAGTTGGAAATTAATTTGACCATGTGTATTAGCCCCCCTCAAACTGGAGAATGTATATCAATCATTTCCAATTTGGAAAAAATAGATCTAAATTGTGCAAGCGTTAGAGGCTTTGTGTAAATGTTAGCCAATTGTTGTGCTGAAGGGACATGCAGAAGATGAATAAGGCCTTGGTTGAGCTTCTCCCGAACAATGTGACAATCCAACTCAATATGTTTTGTACGCTCATGGAAGCTGGGATTACGAGCAATATGGATTGTTGAGCGATTATTGTAGAAGAGTGATACAAGAGAAGGCTCAACAATTTGTAAATCCTGCAGTAGATAAAAGATTCATTGTACTTCACACACTGTTGCAGCAAGTGCACGATACTCAGCTTCACATGAAGACCTTTCTATAGTAGTTTGCTTCTTCGATTTCCATGAGATTAAAGAGGAACCAATGTATAAACAATACCCAGTAATTGATTTTCTAGAATCAATGCAACCAGCCCAGTCAGAGTCACTGTATGCTGTGAGCTTGTGAGTGTTTGATGATGGATAAAAAAGGCCACACCAAGGTGAGCCTTTAATATAACGAAGGACTCTGTGAGCAGCTGCTTGATGCCGGTTTGTTGGAGCAGATAAGAATTGACTAAGTTGATTCACCACAAAAGTTATGTTTGGTCTTGTAGTTGTAAGATAAAGAAGTCTTTCTATCAATCTTCTATAAGAGTTGATATCAGAGAGTGGTTCGCCAATAGTAGCTCCCAACTTGACTAAGCTATCCATAGGTGTTGTCGTTGGCTTACAACAGAGAAGACCAGAGTCTGATAGAAGTTCCAAGGCATATTTGCGTTGGTTAACCACTATGCCTTTGGAGGACCGCGCAATCTCTAAACCCAAAAAGAACTTGGTTTCTCCAAGATCCTTAATGCAAAACTGTGTATGAAGAGACTGCTTGACCTTATTGATCTCAGAAATGTCATTTCCTTCTAACAACACATCATCAACATATAATAGTAAAGTGGTGAAGGATTTCTCAGTCTTCTTGGTGTATAAGGTGTGATCAGCTTGACTTTGAGAATAACCAAGAACCTGTAGAGCACGTGAGATAGTATTGAACCACTGTCGACTAGCTTGCTTCAATCCATAGAGAGATTTCTTTAATAAACAGACCTGGTTAGGCTTGGAAGTCGAGAGACGTTGCGGTAAAGCCATATAGATTTCTTCTTCTAGGTTTGCATGTAAGAAAGCATTATCTACATCTAATTGGTGTAAGAACCAAGTTTTGGAGGAGGCCAAAGCTAACACAACTCTTAGAGTGGTCATCTTTGCTACAGGGGAAAAGGTATCCATGAAGTCAATACCTTCTATTTGAGTGTAACCCTTCACAACCAACCTTGCCTTGTGTCGTTCTACTGTCCCATCCTGTTTGTGCTTGACTTTGTAGACCCATTTGCAACCAATGAGGTTTTTGTCAGGTGTTTTATCAACCAGGACCTAAGTATTATTTCTTGCCAATGCCTCTAGTTCTTGATCCATGGCTATCCTCCAACATTCATGTTTGACGGCCTCGGAATATCTAGTGGGCTCAGGTGTGGTGGTGATTTTCATAACAAAAGACCGATATGAAGGTGTCAAACAATCATAGGAAAGAACTTGAGAAAGAGGATAGAGATTACCTTTGCTTGAAGATTGATGTGGCACAGCAGTGGCAGCAACAAGGTTGCAGTGATAATCCTGTAAATATGAAGGGGGCTTTATAATTCTCTTAGTTGAACATTGTGGTATTGGTATAGGATTATGTGGCGTGGTTACTATTTCTATTATTTCACTATCAAGAAGAGGATTTTGTGGTATTTCAAGTTCTGACTCAGTTTGTGGTTGAGTGTAATCAAAAGGTTCCGTAGGAATAAAGGTTGGCAAGGGAATACTAAAGTTGGAAGTAGCGTTGGTAGGAGATTTCAATTGATATGGAAAAATATTTTCATGAAAGACGACATTCCGAGATACTGATAGCTCTCTAGTCTTGAGATCATAGACAATATAACCTTTTGTGCCACTTTTATATCCTAGAAATATACACCTTGTGGCTCTAGGATCAAATTTAGTCCTATGACTAACAAGGGTGGAGGAGAAACAAAGTGAACCAAAGACCTTGAGTTGGGTCAGGTCAGGAAGACATTTATATAGTAGCTGATAAGGGCACTTGTTATCTAAGACTGGTGTAGGGATTCTGTTGATGAGATAAACTGAGTGCGTAACTGCATAAGACCAAAATACTTTGGGAAGGTTAGCTTGAAATAATAAGGCTATAGCAACTTTAAGAATATGCTGGTGTTTTCTTTCTACTATGGAGTTTTGTTGAGGAGTTTCTACACAACTCGTTTGGTGAACTATTCCTTTTGTAGCATAAAATTGGTCAAATTTGAACTCCTTACCATTATCGGTTCTAATGGTTTTGACTGTGGTTTGAAACTGGTTTTCCACCAAAGCACAAAGGGCTTGAATTAAAGGTTTCACTTCTGCCTTATTCTTTAGCAAATAAATCCAAGTGTGTCTAGAGTAGTCATCCATTATGGTAAGGAAATAAGAATGACCATGTATGGACATAACAGAAACTGGACCCCAAATATCAACATGAATCAGTTCAAATATTGTAGTGGTAAAGGAAGAACTTAAAGGAAAACTCAGCTTTCTTTGTTTTGCAATATGACATATATCACAAACATGATTTTTATTACAATAAATGAAAGGAAACATTTCACTAACTGCTTGACTTCTATCAAAACACGGATGACCCAACCTATAGTGCCATAAATTGGGCAAACTAGAAGGAAAATTACAAGAAAAATTTTCTGAAATGGTGCTATAAATAGAGGATTGAGAAGACTCGACTGTTTGTGTGAAAATTTATAGGCCTCTTTCTGCTTTAGCTATGCCAATCATCTTGCAAGCATTGGAATCCTGTATTAAACAAATGTCATCAAGGAAAGTCAGTTTACAATGAAGGGTTTGAATTAATTTTGTAACTGATATCAGATTGAATTTGAAGCTTGGCAGAAATAAAACATCAGTCAAAACAAAACTAGATGAAAGATGAATTGTGCCAGAAACGGTGGCTGACTCTAAGATTCCATTGGGCAGGGATACTTTGATAGGTGGTATGTTCTTGTATGCAGTAAAGTAACTGAGGGAATTTGAGATGTGGTCCGTGGCACCAGTGTCCAGGATCCATCTAGAGATTAGTACATTACCATTGCTTGTTGGATTTGAATTAGTAAAAGCATTCACATGAGCAGTATGCTGTGTGGAGTCCCTCTGATCTTGTTGTGGCAGCAGAGCTAATAAATTCTGATATTGGTTTGCAGTAAAACCAAACCACGCACTTTCTTGTGTCTTTTCCTGATGAATCTTCTGGACAGTTGGTCTCATTTTCTTCGGTAATCAACATATTTGCAGATCTTGGAACAATGTTTTTGGAATTTTTGAACTTAAAAATAGCAGGGAAACCATGTTTCCTGTAACAAAAGTCAATTGTGTGACCCATTTTTCTGCACCATGAACATTTCTTGGAAGTGTATCTGTTATTCCAACCATTACCATTCCCTTGATTTCTCTTCGAGTGTGACGCATCATCACTGGCCACAATAAGAGCCTTTGGCACAGAAGCATTCTCTGTGGCAAATTTTCATTCTTGTTGAGCAACCAGCGCAAAAACTCGGTTCACATTGGGAAGATTATCTAAGAGCATCAATTGTGATCTAACACCTGAATATTGGTCATTCAGCCCTTGTAGGAATCTAACTACTTGATTTTTATTTCGCTCCTCTTCAATTTTCTTGATTGCAACACATGAACATTTAGGGTTGCATGTACAAACAGGAAGGGGGTTCAGAACATCTAATTCATCCCAAAGAGTTTTTAGTGCAGTGTAAAATTTTGAGACAGAGTCATCACCTTGCCTCTGGCTGAAGATTTCCTCTTGAATTTCTGAGATTCTGAACAGATCAGCATGGGAAAAGCGTTCACGGAGTTCCTTCCACACATTTGAAGCCTTCTCACTCCAAAGAATGGATTGCGCAATTTCCATGCTCATCGACTTTATTAGCCAGCTAAGAACAAGCATGTTGCCTTGTTCCCAGAAAGGAAAAACTGCATTTTCCTTTGGTGGTTCTGCAATCGTGCTGTCAACGAATCCCAACTTGTTCTTTGTCAACAAGCTCATCTTCATCGCACGAGACCAACTGTGATAATTCCCGTCTGTGAGCGGTGGTGAAACAAGGACGGTGGAGGGACTCTCGTTTGGATGTATATATAGCGAATTCGATGCATTCTGTGCATCTTGCACAGAATAGGGGTATGTGGTTGTATTAGCCATTGATGCGCGCAGCAGAGCTCTCTCTAAGAGAGCTCTGATACCATAATAAATTGACAATTGAAATCTGAATGAATAGAAAATTAATCTTATTGATTGAGGAACCAGCCAAGGGTTACATATATACTTGAAACTTAAAAACGGAAAGAAAGCAACAGAGCTGGAAATAAGGAAACAAAATAAACAGCAGCTAAAGATAAGTAAGTAGTTGGCACCGTAACAAATGCTAATTAGTTGGAAATTAATTTGACTAATTTGACCATGTGTATTAAGGGGCTAATTGAGTTTTCATCACTTTATAGTATATTCTATATATTATAATAATTGGAAACAAATTTTTGTTTCATTCTTCTTCTAGCATTTTTATACCTAACATAATATTATTAGTAATATTATGAAAGCTTTTAATAGATATTGAATAATTTGGGTAATTATTTATATAGACGGGACCTTGATGTGAATTTGTTTCAAACATGGCCACAATTTGGTTTTCAAGTTTTATTGGCCTATTATCCCTTAAAGCTATAAATATAGGGGTGTCCATTCCTAGCCTAAACAAGGGTTTTGATGGGTACTTGAATAGATCCTATGCGATGGTATCTATAACTTTTAATATGTTTTGCGATTAGGTGTTTAGAAATTAATGGTATGGATTCATGACTTAATTTTCATTCAACTTTCTTTTCTACTATTTTAATTGCATATTCAGTTTTAAAAATATCATGGAGGATATCTCTAACTTAGAGGTCCATTTAGAAATTGGATGTTTTATTTCTAGAATTATTAATTCATGTTGAAGTATATTGGAATTAGTTTTTCCTTCTTGTTCCAAAATAAGTTTTCTTCGACCTTTTATTTTTTCTTTAGACAACATTTTTATTAATCTAGACATCTTAAGGTCGAGGACTTAGACCTAGTGGGACCACCACAGGGTTTACTATCACTTCTCTAAACTTACAACCTACACCGACTAACCAAACACTATACTAACCTTCCCCTAGGATGGGTTTGATTAACAAAAGGTTTTCTTTAGGAAAAGAATAGTTTTCAAAAACTTAATTATTTAACAAGTAGAGAAAAAAAATCAAGATTAATAAAAATTCTTAGCCAATATAAACTTTCTTAGATCACAAAAATATGAAATATTTAGAAGAATACACTCATTACAACGGAATTTTTTTTTGATTAGGCTCTGATACCAAATGGCATCAGATGTGCAATAAATAAAGCAAAAGAAAAAGATAATTAAAATAAAGAGGAAAGAAAATAATAATTAAACAAACTTTATTTATTTAAATGTGAATACTTACAAAGTAGGAAAGGAAGAAGGCTTAGGTGCTTAGGCTTATGCTAGGAGGGATTGACAAAGAAGAGCGTTTAAGGCTCAAGAGAGTTATGTCTCTTCATCTCAAATTACAAGGTATTTATAATCAAAGAGTCCACAAACAGATCTCAAAGAGTCCTTTATTTCTTGTTCATCTTTAGAATCCAACGAAGAAAGGGCCTCTAATAAATTTTCTTAATCTCTTCTTTAGAATTGGCTTCTAAAGAAAATTCAATAGGGGCTTGCTTTTTTACCATTGCAGTCTTTTTAGGTGATACAAAAGGACTTAAAGTAGATATAGGGTCCTTTAAACCTTGAACCTGGATTCAAGAAATTCTATATTAAATTTTTTCCACCAAAAAGCTTTTACTTTTAGGTAAAGGCTTTATGGATAGGGAATCTTCAAGTGTTTGTGCAACTCATAAATGTGTTGAAACAACCAACTTACTCCCATGGTTGAGCAGAAGTTGAAAAGTTTCAAAGGGTAGGCATTTTTGGAGTTAATGCCTTGAAATTATCATAATATTTTACAATTTTAAGTGGTAAGATGACTCTTATTGGTCCTATAAATAGAAATCAATCCAAAAACCAAGAAGGTAATTGAAAAAGTAATTCATTTTTAAAACT